ATCTTAAAACATAAAAAAAAAAAAAAAATCAGACATTGTACTGAGGAACAATACACACAGTTGTCCTTTGGCCTCCATACACATGTAACATATAGCAACATGTGCACCTACATACATTTGTACATACATATACATCCACAGAAGATGGGGGGAGGGAGGAGAAAAGAATGAGCTGTTTAGGACACACCCATCTTCCCAGCTCCCTAAAACTTTTGGGGCATCCTGTGCCTCTTTCTTCTAAACCAGCCTTGGACGCAGCAGCTGTGCTGGCATTGCTGACTGAATTCAGACTGCACATTAAACAAAAATTCTTCACATCTGAGCACCCACAATTTTGAGAAAATACTAGTTAGGAACACAAGTCACATACATTTCATCACCCAGCCTCAGGCAGCCCCCACCCTTCCTTTCTGCCCTCAAGACATGAGAGATGGCTGATTTGGGAGTGAGCACATCTCTGGAACGTCTCCTACAACATCTCTTCCCCATTCAGTCCTACAGTTCCATCTCAGAAACCACACCCCGTACATAAGGGAGGCATTATGGCGAGGCCTGCAGCCTGCAGCTCTTGTACTGGCTTCACTTATTAGAAAGTTAAAAGAAATAGCTGTCTGTATTCAACTGTGAAGATATGGTAATGGGTGCAACTTTATGAGGAGTTTACTATTTGGGAAGCTTGGACATGGATCACCAGGATGGACATTTAGGACCAGCATGTGCTGAGCAGAATCTGTGTCAGAAGCATTAGACAAAATTATCAGTCTGGAAGTTTCATTGAGAGTCCTAGCTTTGGGACTCAGCACTCCTGAGCTTTGTGATTTGCATGTATATGCCCAAGAGCCCACCTCCTCATGGATGGCCTCCCCTGGATGGCAGTCCTTTGTAGATCAGCTTCACTGAGACCTTGGTGTGGCATCTGTGGATTTAACCACACACACACACACACACACACACACACACACACACACACACACACACACACACATACTCTTATTGCTTACTCTGTGCAAATGCTTTGCCTGGGGTTGGCTCCATACTCATAAAACCCACCGCAGTGTAGAATGAATGTATTTATTACTGTTTAAAATATTTATTACTGGGCTGGTAAAATGGCTTTGCAGAGTTTGATCCCCGGAAGAAAATTGATATATGCAAGTTTTCTTCTGATACAAACACACACACACACACACACACACACACACACACAGATGCACAAATAAGTATGAAAATAAACAAATAAAATGTTTATTGTGGATGTTATAGTTGTTATTATTATTATGTGGTGCTAGGAATCAAACACAGCCTTGGGAATATGAGGTAAACACTGTTTCACATCATATTATTTAGACACTGATAGAGGTTTGAGAAGCCTTTCTTATAACAATCCCTGAAAGCTGGTCATTTAGGGTGAGTGTCCTGTTGACAAATTGTGTACTTGTTACACATATACTACTTTAGCATCTCATTTGTAGTCATAATTTCATATTCTTTCTCTTAAAGGAGTCCTTCAGAATTAACTTCTCTCCTCAAACACAGATCCACCTCTGTCTGTGAGCTAAGAACTATTAACAACCCTCTGCAGACATGGTGAAAAAATGAAATTCAGAGAGGTTAAGCTACTTGCGCAAGAATACCCAACCAGGAAGTAGTGGGGCCCAGATTTGAACCCCACATAGCCTGGCTCCACTTGGAATATTTTTAACCATAACACTTCATTGTCTGTTTTTTTTGTTTTTTGTTTTTTGTTTTTTTTTTAGATTTATTTATTATGTATACAGCATGTTTGCTTTCAGGCCAGAAGAGGGCGCCAGATCTCATTACAGATGGTTGTGAACCACCATGTGGTTGCTGGGAATTGAACTCAGGACCTCAGTGCTCTTAACCACTGAGCCATCTCTCCAGCCCGCCTGTTTTTGTTTTAAATAAAGCTCCTGGCATTTGGAGAGATTTCGTACACTCAGTAACTGATATTATTTTTTATTTAAAACTGCCTTTGTAATAACTTTATCCTTATTTTCAAAAACCATATAAACTTAAGACAAAAGGTGAATAAATCAGCAGATAGAAGCAGACTGATTTCATGTAACTTCCCTTCCAATACTAATTCCCTGGCATATTCTTCTTTTAATGTTTTATTACAATTATTTATTTACTCTGTGGGGTGGGGGGCATGCCAAACTTGTAGGGGTCAGAGGACAAATTGCAGGAGTCAGTTCTCTCTTTCTACCACGTGGGTCCTGGAGACTGAACTCAGGTCACCAAGCTCGGTGACAAGAACTTTTACCCACTAAGGCCTCTCCCTGCCAGGGCAGCTTCTTTTAAAGTAGCCTTACTCAAACTATGGTCCCCCTGACACCTGCCCCATCCCTTCCCATAGGGCAACACTGATGGGCAGGAAGCCACTTTTCTGAAATTCAACTTCCCAAGTACACAGAGACGGTTGGAAACCACTGATTTTAGTGGCCACTCCACTGTGAAGGGTCATATAATTGACAGATACAGTGGAAGGTGGGGTTGGAGGACACTACATCTATAGTGAAACTAGTATTTTTTTTTCTAGTTGCAGGTAAATGAGCAGACCTGCTATGAAAGTTGATATACATGCTCAGTTGCATTACAATTTACATCAAATTTATATATGTGTGTGTGTGTGTGTGTGTGTGTGTGTGTGTGTGGTGTGTGGTGTAATTCATTGTATGTGTGTGAAAGGGTGACATTCCTCAGGCACTGCCCATCAGCTTTTGAGATAGGGTCACCAGCCTGGAACTTGCTGAGCAAGTTAGACTGTCTGGCCACAAGTCCCAGGGATCTGCCTGTGTCCACCTCCCTGTGGCGAGGATTACAAGTTGACCACCATGCCTGTCTCTGTTTGTTTGTCTGTTATGTGGGGTTTGGGGGTTGAACTCAGGTCCTCATGCTCGTAAGTAAGCTTTGTTCTGGCCCAGCTATCTCCCCAGATCCCTCATTACATTTACACACTAACTTTACACACAGCTCCAAAGTTATAATTAAGACTAGAACAATGACTACGTTCTTAGATTCTGTTCTAAGAGTTTACTCTATTAATTCTTCAGAGTCTTTCAGTTCTTGGAATGGAACCCAGAGGCCTCATTCATCCCAAGCAAGCGTTCTACCACTGGGCCACATCCTCAGCCTATGCCTGTCTCTTATACTCAGCAACACACACACACACACACACACACACACACACACACACACACACACTTTAAAATACAGTATGAATAGAATGTAGAAGTCCAAATTTCCATAGCAGTTAATTTTATTTTACTTTTGTCTGATTTAGTCATTTTCAAGAAAAATGTTGCCATGGACTGAAGACAACAGGAAATCACCAAAATGAGCCAAATCCATGTTTTTCTAAGAAAGAAACTTTGGAAAGTGTTAAGCTCAGTTGCAGTTGTGGAGATGACATGGCTTGACTCCATCTCGAGTCCTCAGAAAGACTCTTTGTTTCAGCTCTTCCCACACTCCTTTCCCTTTACACCCTCTCAAAGTTTCAAGATCTTTACCCTGAATTCCTTCCCTTAGCAATTCCAGTGTACAGGCCTTCCAACAGAAGCTGTGTCAAGTGCCAACCCTACCGGCAGCTTGGGATTCAAATCTAGGCAGCCAACTATAAACCACTAAAATATCTCCCATTTATGGAGTGCCTACTGGATACCAGGTCCTTAACACAAGCTAGTTAAATCCTTACTAGTATGCGCAAAAGAAATTGCAAACCGGACATGGTGCACACCTGTAATTCCAGCATTTGGAAGATTCAGGCTGGAAGACTGTGAGTTCAAAGCTAGCCTGTGCTATTAGCAAGTGCCAGGCCAGCCCTAAGCTCCATAGAACAGCATGCCTTGGAGAGAAAAAACTTGCATTCAAAACTAGAGTTTGCTCAGGCCACACAGCTGTAAGTGGCAGAGTGGGACCAGCCTCTCTCTGGACCAAAAGACGACAGTTTTCCTGTACCACCACAAAAGCTCTTGCCTGGCTACTCTTGACAGTCCCTAAAGGGAACCCCACATCTCCCACTTTACAGATAAACACCTTCTTATATTGGACACCTCATGAAAATAACCCCTGATGAGGGAGTGGATTCAATCTTCCAGGTCCAATCTTCCAAACAAAGGCTGGGAAGAAATGCGCCAGCTTATGACTTCCTCATCCCGTGAAAACACGCTTTGAACTAAACAGATCATCTTTTAAATGATTGAGTCGACATCAAAATTCACTTCATCTGAGACAGTCCCTTCTTCTACAGGATCTTCTCAGAGAATGTTAGGGGGAATCTGTTTGATAGTTTTCATAGAACTTTTCCAGTTTTATGAAACTTTTCTATAGAACTTTTCTGACCTGGACTGAACCTTTTCATTGGCAGGTTGTGGTCACCTGTGAGGTTAAACTGATTAAAACACAACGCTGACTGGTGCCTAGACTACCTGAGCTGTTGTTGTTCTTGATGCTGGCTTGAACTAATCACAATTGGTAAGAACTGGAGGGAAAAAATGAGTTCTTCCATGTTTAGGTGGAGAGAGTTGAGGTTTCCAGGAGTTTATGACTTTTGTTCAGCTCTTTTCTCCCTGGATGAGCACTAACAGCTAACCACCTCACAAGTCTAAGACGGAAACTTGCAATGAACTGCTGGGCAGGAGTCTGTCTCAGAAATTTGCAAGGACGGATAGGAATCTGGTAGACAGCGGGAGCCAACAAGAACACTTGATTCTGCAGGACTTTGAAGTTCCGTGCACAACTCTGCAGCAAACTGGTATGGGGCAGGCGCTAAGAATCACTCAGAAGAAGCACAAGTGACCAAAAGATGAGAAGGAAAGCTCCCCTGCTGACGACTGGGAAAAGGGATGGTGCAGACCAGAGGGTGATGATGCCTCCCGTACTTGCATCCCACGGGTCAATTCCAGCCTGTCCAGAAGCCTCAAGGCCAGGGAGACGGAGGGAAGGGACAGAGCCGCGGTTCCCACAGCTCTCCTACTTACTTGCTCCGAAGCGTCATCCCAGCTCCGCGCGTCTTCCTGGGACTCCGAGAAGAGGGGCAGCCCCAGGCACAGCCCCAGCAGCAGGAGCATGGCGAGGCCGGAGGGCGCGACAGCTCTGGGACAGGGAGGTATTTTCAGGGTGCTGAAGGAGCTGCAGCAGCTGAAAGACACACGCTCCATCCAGCCCCGCCTCCACCGAAGCCCCGCCCATCAAGGTCTCCGCCCCCTTCATGCCCTCCAGGCCAGTCTGAGTCCAGTCTCCCGCAACACTAGTACCCTAGGCCACGCCTCCTCGTCCCTTTCGAACCCCCTTACCCCCAGTCCCTGGTTCCTCCTCCTACTCACCATGTGATCCCTGACTCCTAGTTTTGCCTCCCCTGGGCTCCACAATTGTCCGCAGGCCAGCTTCCTGCAGGCACCACCTCCAGGCCCGCCTCCAGCTCTAGAGTAGCTAATGAGTCCCCACGGTCTCAGAAGGAAAGGGCTCCAGACCTGCCCTAGCTGTGTGCACAGCCAGGCAATCTCTGCTTTGCCCCGCTTGAACGGTCTTGTCCTCCCGTCCTGCATGCAGTGAATAGACTCCTCTTAGGTCAATCTTTTCCTCTGCCAGCAGCTGCCAGCACCATCACCCCCAACTCTTCCTCCCCTGCTTTCCTTCGCTTTATGGACTTGCTTAACCCTTGTTGCCAAGAGATGGAGGATCAGCACACCAGGCTCACCTGAGGCCTAAAGTTGACAGGACCCCGACCTTACTCTTGGTATCCGGCCCCCAATGCTTAGAGTCACGAGTAAGGGATGTCAACTGTTGTCTACGGCACACAAGCTGCATTCCCTTTTAATGCCATTCTAGTATTGGGGAACAGAAAACAGAGGCAGAATTAGACCTGTGTGGATGTTAGCCCAGAAATGAAGGTTATATATCTTGATTACAAATTGTTGCTTCTGTTCTTGTCTTGCCAGGAAGGACCACTGCCTATGCCTGACCTTTTAGAACCTAGGGAAGTCTTCTCACCCTGTACATGTCTAATGCAGCTGGGCTAATGTGCTTAGGCCATCTTGCAAAAGGTAATTGCTACAAAGACTTACTCTTTGTCTCTGGCAATTCCATCTAAATAGATAAGGTGAAGAATGGGCTTCTGTGGCCAAAAACAGGGAAGTGGCTCCCCTCACCTGGCATCATATGTCCTGTGGAACATTGGACAACCAATAATAATCATGAAATCTACAGAAACATGGAGAGTGTTGGCAGTATCGTGGTGCCAGGGGTTGGGTCGGGGAATCAGATCACAGAACTGCATCAGCACAACAGATTGTAGCTAGGTCAAAGCACACAGGAATACACTTAACAACAACAACAGAGGCAACAGTGTGTATTCTGTTTTAAGCTGCTACTCCTTAAAACATCCCACTTACCCTTAGAGCAATGTTGCTTGTTCAGCAGAGAAATTAAGAGCAGTTCAAGCAAGCAAACTTGCTGCTACTGTGAAATAAATAAAAGGAAGATCCTTGTCATTAACGTTAATCGTTTAATTAGCCTAATCACCCAGCAATTTAAAAAGCAGCAACCAGCAGGAAGAAAGCAGGCACTGTTTCAACACAGAGAACACACAGAAACCTGGTAACAAACAACTTGTTTACACCCCCGCCGCCGTTCTCACTAAGGAAGAAAACCAGATCCCTGGCAATCACTTCCACTCTTCCCCAAGGGAGGAATGCCTCTCTGAACAGAGAGTTCACATGGCAATGGACAAAATCAGGTTACTGGAGAGGGGAGGGTAACGGTTGCTGTTATTTGGGGGCTAGAACAGACCTCCATCTTCTTCCCCTCTCACACTCCTTTTATCCTGCCCTGCTAGGCAGGATCATACTCAACTTTCCCCCCTTCTATGTTTTACCTTTTATCAGATGTTCACTAGCTGAGTTTCTCAGCAGCAACATGAAGAAGTGTATTTTTCTTTCTTTAGACTGCCGTTTCTTCCTCTTCCCTGAACTCGGCTACTGACACAGTACCTGGTTTACGTTTTAGTCAGTTTCTGGATGTGATCAGTTCTTTGAAGACAAGCATGTTTTACAACTTTTAGCACTGTGCTAAATGCAGCTATCACTGAAACAATCTATTTATGAGTGGAATGAGACATAAGACACCTGGGGTAGATGGGTGGGGCAGGGTGCTAGAGGAGGAGAGGGCTGGGCTGCAGTCCACATTTGCCCTCTAGCTAACTACATGCCTTGGTAGAAGTTCTGAACTGTCTGTTACAGGGCCTCAGCTCCTAATGGTCCACTTACAACCCATTGACTTTATAGTGGACCAAAGCAATGCACATCTGAGAGAGACCTCACTATGAGTTTGGGGATTTGTTTTATTCCCCCCCCCGCCCCGACCAGAAATATTAGTTGCTATGCTATTCCATGATACAGGACAGCCTCTCTCCACCTACAGATTCAGAGCAACCAGGCAACTATGTGCATATACAACCAACACTCTAGCAAGTATGCCCAACCTATAGCTTTGGATGGCTATGAATGTAGCCCAACATAAAAGTGTAAGCTTAGTTAAAACATTATGAAATATCTTTTTGATTTTTAAGACCCAATCGAATGGCTCATGAACATGAATTTTGAAAATGACTGTGTTTCAGTGCAAAAGACTGGATACACGGCTCGAGTATGGTACATTGGAAGTATTTTGGGATATTGTATTTTGTGTTTAGTATACCATTGTGTCAACAAAATACCATCTATATGTGTGTGTGAGATACTCAATGCTTCATTATAAAATAGATGCTTGATTAGATGATTTTGCAGACTATAGGCTAATGGAAGTGTTATAAGCATGTTCGTGATAGGATAGGCCGTCATGGTCAATATTAGGCATATTAAATGAACTTTCATGTAAACGATGTTTTCAACTCGCTATAGGTGCATCAGGAGGTAACCTCATTTTAAAAGGATCACCCACATTTGTAATTTGTAATATTCTATTGCTCTATGTCACACCTGGGCCTCTGGGGGATGTTTGTAGGTATAATAAAAATAAGACCCAGTGAAATTTTCCAAGACAGTTGACAGATGTTGGCTTCATGCATAAGAATGGGGGGATTGAACCGCCCCTCAAATGAGGCATATTTGAATGAGGGCTAAGGTGTCCCCACACATATATGTTCTCTAATACTATGAAAGAAAAACGGAAACAAGGGTAAGGAAAGAGGCCAACAGAGGGGAGGAAAGGGCAAAGGAGATGAAGAAGGTGTGAGGGTATGAGATGGTAAATGGTGAAACTATGATACACTTGAAATAAACTGTCTTTTTGAAATCCATCACCATGCACAATAAATAAACACCAATAAAAAGAATAAATGGAATCTAAATTAGAAGCTATGAAGATGGTAAAAAGCTTTCTGTGAACTTTGAGGATCCAAGTCCGAATACCCAGCACCCATGTAAAAATCCAGAAACAATCACATGGTTACTTGTAGTCCCAGTGCTTTTGGAGGCAATGGCAGAGACTCATTGCGGGCTCAGTGACCGCCAGCATCACTCCATGTGTGGAGAGTCCTGTTTTCACCCATTTTTCTGCCATTACACCTTTTTTTTTTTTCACTCCCAACTCTTATTTCTTCAAGGACCCTCTATTCAAATTCTACTCGAAGATAGCTACAACCCTGTCCAGCAATTCCTCACTTAAAAGTTTCTCTCCCTTAAAAAAAGTTTAAGGTTTATAAAATACAGGGCTAAGATCACATTGTAGGGATTGAATCTAAGTCTTTGCACATATTAGACATACATGCTCAACCACTAAGCTAATATCCCCAGCCTTTGGCCTTTTGAGACAGGCTGGCCTTTCTTGACTTTTTGACCTTAACTTCCGCAATGCCAGGTGTACAGAAGTGTGCCCCCATGCCAGGATTGTCGCAGTACATTCTAATAGATTCCTGAAGACGTCAGAAGGCTCGGTTGATGTTAATTTTCGCCTTGTTTTCCAAAGGTGAACAACAACAACAACAATCAGAGCTGGTGTTTCACTGTCTGGCACTATCTGAATAGAACCAGCTACATGTTTGCTCAGCATCTGCGTTCATGTGGGATTCAAAGCCCGGCTAGTAATTCGGTAGAAACATTTGTCAGTTGAGCGACTGTTTGTCCCTACAGAAACACACATTGATCATCAAAACTCTTGTAATCAAAAACAGAGTCATTTTAATTTTCTTTTAAAATGATGCAGTGACAGTATTGTCATCTTTACAGTATCTGGAATCACCAAGAAGACAAGTCTCTGAGTGTATCTCTGGGCATTTTCTAGATGAATTTTCTAGGTTCATTAAGATGGAAAGATGCATCCTAACTTTGGAGAGCACCATCCTATGGGCTGCCTGGGGGCCTGGGCTGAATAAAAGAGGAAAGAAAGCTGAACATCAGTGTTTGCCTCTCTGTGTATGCTACCTGACTATGGAGGCCATGTGACCAGCTTCCTCACTTCCCTTTTCTGCCATGATGGACTATGTCCCTTGAGTCATAGCCAAAATAAACTCTTCTCCCTGAAGTTGTTTCTTTTAAGGCATTTGGTCACAACAAAGACAAAAGTAATGGACACAGATGCCCAGAGCAACACTGGTACTCTGGAGAAGAGCTCTCAGCGTTGACTGGGAATTATCACTTGACATAACACACAGGATTTTTTCAAACACAGATGGAATAAGACACATGTTCCCTCTCCCTTGCCTCCATGTACCTGTCACCCACCTGGTACTTTCTGTGACACTAAAGCCTGAAGTCAGAAGACCCAGCATCACCTGAAGGCAATCCCCAGAGTGTTTTCAACCTGAAGAGCTGCCAGATGTGTCTCAGGCAGATGTTGGGAGAGTTCCAGGGAGCTTCCCCTGCCAACACAGACGTGTCTCTGGAAGGGTTCTGGCTCCCACAGAGTGTGGGTTTTGTAGGTGGTGCTGAGAGATACATCACACCAGCTGAAACCAGGACCTGACTTGGCAGCGTTGTTGGGTTCTCTGGAAGTGCTGATGGGCAGGCTGCCTGGCTGGCAGAAAGGGAGCCTCTGTGGCATGCAACATGTGCAACAGGTACCAAACACATGGGTACAGACTTGCTGAGCAAATAATGCCATCCTTTCTCTTCCTGAATCTCCAGGCTGTCTGATGAGAACAACCTTGACTCTTGCCAGTTTATGAAA